AGTCTCTGCCACATCATTCTCATCTGAAGTTATCTCCTTCATTAATTTACGAGGGCAATCATTGAATAAGAAGGCTTGCCTTTCTCCCTGACCAGGCTACAAGCTTCCTGAAGACAAGGGTCTTACTTATCTTGTTTACTACATGACTCCAGCCCCTAGAACATAGTAAGCACTCAATAAATACGGATGAGTGAATAGCTAAAGCCAAGAGCCCCTTTTCAGGAAGAGAAATGCCAATCCTGGATTCAGATGAAGGAAGGAGTTTAGAGGAAATGAGTCTTGCTATCGAGGGCATCAGGGAAAGTTATCTATTGCTGTATCACTACTCACCCCCAAACTTAGTGGCTTAAAACAACAGTCATTTTGTTTGCTCAAGATTTTGTGACTTGAGAAGGGTTTGGCAGGTATATCTTGTCTCAAGGGAAGGGTATATCTTATCTCTGCTCCTCACAACGTTAGCTGGGGCCAAAGGACCCACTTCCAAGTTGGCCCACTCTAAGTTGATGCTGGCTGTTGGTTTTGCATGGGCCTCTCCACAGAACTGCTTGGGCTTCCTTGCAGCATGGTAACTGGGTTCCAAGAGTGAGCACACCAAGAAACAGGAAGTAGAAACTGTCTGTCTTCTTAAGATCTGGGCCCAGAAACTGGCATTTCATCATGTCCTGCGTATTGTACTAGTTAAGAAGTTATGGATCCAAGATCCAAGGGACTCTTGCCAGAGGAGTGGCAAAGAGTTTTGGGGACATGCTTTAAGACCATCACAGGAAGCTTCCTGGAGGAGAGGGGTGAGCAGCTGCAAACACTAAAGGTTTGCATGGCACCCGTAAGCTCTCCAGAATGGCTGGAGCAGCCTTATTCTACCACAGCACGGCTGCGGTGCATTCTGGCTACCCCGAAGGAGCCTCCAGTCGATGGGCACGGCAGACTGTGTTCTCCAAAAGCGACCACAGCTATACTTCCAGCCTCACGTGTGCTTTTATAGAACATTGCCCGTTCTATCAAGAACTGGAATCTATTTCCCCTCCCTCTGAATCCGGGTGGGCTTGTGACTACCTCGATGAACAGAACGTGGCAGAAGTGATGCTGCATGACCTCCGAGGCTATGTCATAAAGGGTGAGATGCTTCCGCCCTCTCTCGCTCTCCCTCTCTCCAGACGCTCCCTCTGGGAACCCAGGCACCACGCTGCAAGGAAACTCAGGTCATATGAAGTGGCCGCCTGTAGGTGTTCCAGCTGACAGCTCAAACTAAGGTCTTGGCATCAACCATCAGACAGCTAAGCAACCCAACCTTCAGAGGATTCCAACCCCCAGCCTTGGGGTCTTCCATCTGAGGCCGCAGACTTCAGAGGCACCAGTGACAAACCTTCCTCACTGTGTTCTGTCTGAATTCCCGACCCATAAAAATAAATGGTTGTTTTATGCCACCAAGTTTTGGGCCATAGTAACTGGTGCACTAGTCAAAGTGAAATATAACAGTGGCACCTCCAGAAAGCATTTCCACAGGCAAGAGGCGTCTGGTGGAACCTCGCCAGAGCAGTCTGGCCATTGAAGCCAATGTTCACCAGGTGAAAGCTGGAGAGCAAGGACAGGTGTTTTGGAAAGAAGAAATAGCATGTGTGACATTTCAAGCTAGGAAAGAAACTAGCCAGAGGAAGGCCAGTGGGCTGGAGCACAGCCCTGTGGTATGGGGGTGGGTAGTCCTGGCAGCCACCCTTCATCCTGAGGGCTCGGAGGAGGACCCTTGGTCAGATCTGCTTCCAGGTGAGGAGGTGAAATGGATAGTCAGGGGACAAGGCCACTATGGTAAAGAGTTGGGAAGAGGGCCTGACCAAGCCGTGGATGCATGAGGTCAAGAGGCTGTGGAGGAACTGGCGGCATCTGGTATGGACAGTTGGATGGATGCAGGATGAGGGCCAGAACCTGGCAGGGCGGGAGGTGGTGTTACCCATGCCGAGGGCCAAGGATGTCGCTGGAAGGGTAGTGGATGATGTGCTCTTGTTTATGGCATGACCTTTGCTGGATGTCCTTCCCCTGGGAGGGTCCCTTGGGGAAGTGACATCCACTGAAGCTCCTTTACCCCTTCGGTTACACCTCGTGACATATCCCTCTGTTTCTAAGTCTGAGAGACTCAGAAGGGTTCATGAGGCTGGGCTGCTTCACCAGCTATAGCCCCAATGAAGTTGGGCTCTTGGGGTTCTCCCAGCTGGGAACATTTTCTGGCTGGAACTGAATGATAGGACAGCATCAAGTTCTTAGTGAGGGGCCAGCCCCTCCATACAACATGTGCCTGTGGGAAAATGCAACTTACTTGGCTGCTGCTGTCACTCGGATTCTAGCACTTACGGGGCAGGAAGTGGAGTGCCCCTCCCTCACCACAGAGACGCTGGCTTACTCATAGTGAGCCAGGCTCACCACTCTCACCCCGAGCCTTCTGGAGGCTCCCAGGTTGGAGGGAGGGCTTCCTCTGGGCTCCCATAGTATTTAAACCTTCTTCGGTGTTTCTAGTGTAGGAACTTCTCTTCCACCCTTTCTTGGCAATTTGAGAGGCATTTGCTGTTCAGTTGAATCTGCTGGAGGAACAAATGGCCCGATGTCAAATGAATTCTCTGAGTCAGCTTGTCATCCAGGGCCCTTGACCTTTTTGTGAGAACCATCCCTTCTCATGAGCAGACGTGCCTCTCACCATGCAGATATTTCTGGTCATATATATAGCCTTAAAAGGCTGAGAAAGCTGGCTGTGATAGAGGCAAATTACAAAATGAAAGTGACACTGTCCATAGCTCCTCTAACGGCATTACCAGCCATGGGCAACGCTCACTCATAGGAGTTGGCAGCTTGGTGGGCCTGGGAGCAAGAACTTACTCACAGAGGCTGGCGCTTGGTGGGACTGGCGAAATGGTTCTTCTGCTGACCACAGAAATAAGGGAAGGTGGCTCTCTGAACGGCCCTCGTCTGCGAGGACTCTGGACCCACATGACCACTCACCCATCAACCACTCCAAGGGCATGGCTTCTGCCTGGAGGGGCCCTGGGAGGAAGGTTAGAGCAAGTTCCCCTGAGTTCCCTCAAAAGCTGGCCCTGAGCAGAGATTCGAGTGTGGCTGTTTATGTGGGAGGAGGAAATACCACCAGCAGAGCGGGGAAGGCAGCCAGCAACTGGACCTAACCCTGTGGGGAAGGTACCCACGCTCACCTCTCCTCAGCCTTTGGCTGAGAGCTGCTCCCGGAGATGTGATTTCCTTGCACTTTCCAGCAGGCAGCGGGGCTGCATTCTGGGGCCTGGCAAATGGCCTCAGGGAGAGGTTCAGGTGGGGCGGGAAGGCAGTCTCGCAGCACGGAGGGTGGCTTCGCCAGTGATGTGGGGGACAGTGTGTGTGGTAGTCACTGGTCAGGGGAAGCAGGGGGAAGCAGGGGTCATCAGCAGCATGAGCCATCTGAGACGTGTGCCAGGCCCTCCGACAGAACCTGTAGTTAATAGTCCCTTGGGAAGATGGGCCGTGACCCGTGAAGAGGCGTGCCTGTGTCGGCTGGGCCTAGGAGAGGCTTGTTAGCGATGCCTCCCCTCCCCCAGAACAGGCTCTGTCCAAGGTGCCACTGGCTTCAAGGCTCTGCCTAAGCAAGGGTTCCCCTTTCCCTTCCTAATCAGTCATCTATGACTTGGAGTGACTCCGTCCACTCCCGCCCTGTGGCCTCTTCACTAAACCCCACAGTTAACTGGGTGTCAGTGAGGGTACCAGGACAAACTTGGTGCTGAGGGGGAGAGTAGGGAGGGGGGCCATGCTTTTGGGGACATCCCCCAAATGGCTTCTGGGACCAGCAGACTGAGCAGGGCTGTTTCAGGGCGGGCCCTGGGGTTGATGCAACCCCAGGAGCAGACGGTCAGGCCTCGGGGAAGCCTCTGGGGTCCCAGATAGCAGTGGAAGGGGTGGACTACATGACCTCCAAGGGCTTTTTCAGAATTAAACATCACCGTCTTGCCTTTTACCACGTGTCAGGCTCTGTTCTAAGTGCTTTAAATTCTAACCATGCCCTATGAAGTAGGTGACTGCCATTAGCCCCATTTCTCAGATAAGCAGCCTGAGACCCCCGAGGTTAAACAGCTTGCCCAAACTGGAGAGGAAGGGAATGGCAGAGTTAGGTGTGAGCCTTGGGTCGGGCCTGGGTCTCAACCCCCGTGTGCAGTGGCGTGGGTGAAGCGGGTGGGGGCACAGCCCAGCGTGCACACTCACCTGGCTTTGCACTGAGCAGGGGGCTCTTCAGGGTCAGGCCTGGCCAGCACCTTGTGCCCCCAGCCCCTGCCTGGAACAAGTCAAGTTTCACATTATTCTTTTATTATAATCGCATTGAATGAGATTATTTTGCCAAAAGGATAACTCATTTCTTAAATCAATATGAGTTATGGCATAAAAATAACGAGAAAAAAGCGATAAGATATAAATGGCACGACTGAGTATTCCATAAATCAAATGAACTGTGCCATTGTGAGAAAAATTATTATAACTTTTACATCTAATTAGTCTCAAGCCTGTTTATAGAAACTTTATATTTCTTTCTAATACTATAAAAAGAGAGCTTCTGAAAGCAATACTGAGGAAGAGGATTTTGGCCCGTGAGAAGGAAGCCTGGCTTGCTGGTTGCTGCCCTCAGCTCATCCTGGCCGCCTCTCCCTGTGTCCCTGCTCTGGACACATGGAGGCCAGGGGCCAGGTGTACACCTGTGGAGGAGGGACGGAATGGCATGGGCTCCACAGGACAGCCACTCAGAGCACGAGACTTAAGTCTTCCATACACACTCTGGGGGAAGCTTCTTAAAGAAATGATAAAATAACGAATAAATTTGGGTCAACTCCGGCGGGTTACCATTGGGAGAAAACAGAACTGTCACGGAGCTTTATATTTGTTCATCATCTCTGACAAGGTGGAGGAGTCATTCTTGTTAATGGCGAACGATAAAACCCCGGAAGGGCCGATGCACAGGATTCGATTCAGGCGTATGCAGAGGAGGCAAATCGCAGGGCGGTCTTGGTTTATTGTTAGTTACATCCATTCTGCAGTGACATTATTTCTGACCAGACTGCAGTTAGAACATTAGCAGGAGGTCAACCTTCAAGAGGAATCCAGTATAATGAAATAAGGTGAAGACATAAGGAATTTCTTTCTCTAATCTGTAACTCTTATATATAATGTACAGGTATAATTTTAACTCAGATTTCCAAACTGATCAGAGAGGAATGCATGAACACAGGGACATGTATAAAAAATGTAGACGACAATGAGAATCTAAACTTCACGTATATAAAATATATTTAACTGCTAATAATCAAAACACGAGGTTACAATGATTATATTTGTTAAAGAAAAACAAAAAAGGTTTCATATATTCAGGATTGAAAAAAATGTGCAATTAAACATAAGTATCTGATAAAATAAAAATGAATGAACGTAAATTCTTTAATAGCACTGTAACCAATGAAAATGCAAACAATGCTCAGTTATAAAGAATAAAAACAAGTCACTTAAAAAAGATAAGACAGAAATTCAATTCTCATACCCCACGAATCTATGGGAATTTGAGGGTGGCATCGTCTGCAACCACTTGCCCTTGTATGTTTCTTTCCTGAGGGAGCAGCTTGTTGGGGGCCATAGAAGCAACACCTCTGATGACCCCACTGGTTCTCATGTGGCGCCAACATGGAAGCATAGAACGGAGGACCTGCCCCTGAGTGCTGGCAGGGCTGGGAGGTTCCACTGACCATTAAACAGGGAACGAGCCTAGAGCCTGTCAGTGTGGTGGGCATCTGGGAGCTGGTGTGTGGCCAACGACACTGCTATCTTGAGTCTAGCTCTTAGGGCAGAAGAAGTACTGAAAGTGAGCAGACGATGGTGGCCCAGCTGCCAGGGGACAGCCAGCTCCATGGCCTTTTCCAGTCTCTGACCTGGGGACCGCTGGGATGGCTTCACATCTTTCACCTCAGAACTGAAGACGCCAACAGGTTCTCAAGCCTTTGAGAGGGAGTAACGACAATCTCTGCACAGCTGCAAGGCCACTCACTGTGTGAGGACGTTGGGAGCTTATGAAATATCACCAAGGGGATGTGGACTTGGCAGCAACCTACTCAGTGAGACCACTCAGAGTCAGGAGCCAGAGCTAATCGGTGCATTTTCTTAGAGAGTGAGTGGGGAATCATGTCATTATCACATTTGTCTATAGAGAAATACATGGCTAGCAGTGGCAGGGATGTAGGTGATGTCTGTCCTCTCAAATGTGGTGGCTCTTCGACTGCTGCTATGGAAGCTTCCACTGTCCACAGGCCTTGTGGTCCTCAGAGGAGAAGTGTAGAGAACCAGTCACACCAGGGCACGGGCCACTGCCCCCGATGGAGGTGAAATGGGCAGGGTGTCCATCCTATTACAATTGCTACGCAGGCAAAGGAGAGGAAAAGTATCCTTTTCAGGGCTCTTTTCCTTAAGGAGAGAAACGTGATGCTTTGGGTCCATCACGGTTCCCGAAGCTGCAGCTGACAAGGGAATCTCTATTCTGTTCTGAAGCCCAGAAGGCTCTGGCACATCAGACCTGGTCCTGCCCTGGCAGTGGTGCCTGGGATGCAGCTGAGCCTGGGCCAGCAGCTGCTACGCCTGGCTCCCAGCAAGGGAAGGGCTGTGCAGAAATTCCGCATCCTCCTGGAGTCTGGAATGTCTGTGGGAAGCCGTGTTCCCCGAGAAGGGACACCAGGTCTAATTCCCCATTACTGCTACCTTACGGCCAGTGGGAGATCCCGACTCTGGATGAAAATTAATTGGGTTTTTTCCCTTTACTCCTTAGTCAACAGGTGAGCATAGCCCCAAAACTTCAGAAACTTTATGAGAAAACCGATTGAAAGATGCTCACCCCATAAAGTCAGGGTAATTTTCCAATTCAAGGAAGCAATATTCTTACAACCTTTGAAATCAGTGCAACAAAGACTGGCTTAAAGTGATTTTGTTTTTTGGTGTGAAAGATTCAAAAAGGTGAAATACAGTTGTTTAAGGGGGACAGTGATGGCCAGAGTAGATCTGGCCCGAGACTTAGAAATGTCTTCTTTAGCAAATGAAAAAAATCTAAACCACAGCACACCTAAATATGATTCCTAAGTTTATCCTGTTTCTAAAAATCACTGTAACTTTCTGAGAGGTCAGTAATGAGTTTTTTCCCAGCCCTGGAATCCACTGGTGTTCCAGCTCATTCTGCTGCATTTGGCTCTGCCATATGGATTCCCAAGGAAGAAATAAAATCGGCTAAGATACAGATTTCCAGAGGAAAAGTTTTCTTGGTATCAATCAATTTTCCTATGCCCGATGCTCGGAGGGAAGGAACATTCGAAACCAACTTGTCTTCCTTCTTCTAGATATAACTGATGGAGCTGTCACACCTTCTTAGTTGGGGAGCAGAAGACAGAGGAAAAATCATTGTGACTGCGGTCTGGTCTTTTCTGACAGTGCGTGTGAGATGGGGTGGGTGGAGCGGGGGTTGGGTGCTGGCCCGAAAAGGCCTGTCTGCATCTCGTGAACATCAGTCTGCGCGCCCTGTGGCTCTAAAGCTTCTCTCCAGGTTCCGACGGGCTGCTCCAAAGCCACATGCATGCTGGGAAAGAAGCGTGGGTTTCAGAGGGCTTGGCTCAGCGGGCTTCGGGGCTGCTGAGGGTGGCCTGGGCACTTTGGCAGATGTCCAGGGGGCTCACGATGGTGAAGCCGGAGTCCTTGCTGTTGTTGCTGCTGTCGTCATCGGGGCTGGAGCTGGGGTTGCTGGAGGACGCCGAGGCCGGGCCCATCAGAGGGTCGGAGAACACCAGCGGGAAGCGGGCCAGGGCCTCACTTTTCCCAGATGTGCTTCTGAGGGTGCGAAGAGGCTGGGCCTGGCCCGAGAAGGAGCCCCTGGCACTGACCCCCTCGTCTTCCTTGGAAACCAGGATGAAGTCGTCTGAGCTCCCTCTATCCGTGTGCCCTGATGCTTCTGAAGAGGCCTGTGAAGCACAGTGAGAAGAAGTACAGGGGGTGAGAGAAGACACCAGGGAGACGAGCGCTGCGTGGAGGCCCTGCGAGCCGAGGAGCGCTCCGCGGAGATGGGCCGCCTCGCCCGACGCGTCCTTAGATACACAATGCTCAGGCCTGCTGCCCCGAAGCCCAAGCCCTTCTCAGTGGTGCGGGGCCAGCCTCTCTGAGGCTGAACGCTGGTGTCCCAGGGGAACGCAGTAAACTTCCTGCTCGATAACCTGTTGGGAGAGGCTGGCTCGGGAACCGGCCAGCAGGCTGCAGACAGAATCCCTATCAGCTTCACGTGGCGCCCTGCCATACAAATCACTCACCTTCCTTGGGCTTTAACCTGTGAAATGGGGATCAGGGGAGCTGTCTCTGTCCTAGTGTATGGTCACCCTGTAGTGAATTAGAATTGTTCCCTAATGTGAGCTCCAGATTCGGGGTGATTTTACTACTTGCTTAGAGTAGAGCTTTAGGGGGACCCAGGACACTTCATCGCATGTAGCTCTCACAGCCAGCTTGTCCTGGGTGTGCACTTGGGGGTCCCATGGGGCCACGGTGGTAACTGGTAGGTTCTACAAACATGAAAATCAAGAACGGCAATTTCATAGTATATGGCAGAAAGTATAGAGATGGAATTGATTTATTTTATAATTATTTTCCTTTTATTCTAAGCAATTATGAGTAGCGTTTTGTTTCTTAACTAAAAAAAGCTGACATCCATGAACACTGGTGACGGTTTTGGGTTAAGATCAGAAATAAAGCCGTAGTCTGACCAAGGATGTTCCAACTCCTGCCTGCCTACTGTCCCCACAGTGTGGGGGACTGGTGCAGGGGTGTGAGGTCGACTGAGACAGAGCCCGGGGACTGGTGCAGGGGTGTGAGGTTGACTGAGACAGAGCCCCTGAGCTGGAAGTGCCCCTGGGCCCCAGCCTCCGGACCGGCACAGCCAAGGCCACCTGCGAGCTGTGGGCAGCGCCTGGCCACATGGTTGGCAACACTTGTATGGGAAATCTGAATCTCGTTCTCCTCGGTGACATACAGGGTGAGTGGCTGAATAATGGCTCCCTCCAATAGTTCATCTGCCTTAAGACATTTAATTGAAGGACAGAAACAGAAGTTGCCTTTAAGATCACAGTGCTGAAACGACAGGCATTGAGGTTCCTCGTCTCAAGTTTTAAAGCTGTTTACATTCTCTGAACACATTAATTCTTATGAAACTGAGGAGATGCAGCACGTGACACTCTGGTAGACCGGGACGTGATCACGAATGGCACTAGGCAGTTTGGTCGGGAAAGACTGTCTTTTTGCATCCCCATCGCTGTGCCTCTGTAAGGGGCACCTGGTCGGGGCCATGTCACCTTTGGGGAAGCTGGAAGGGACATCTGAGCAGGGCTTGTCCTCCTACACGTATGACATGGGATGTACACACAGCTGTGTAGGACTCAGCTTTGACCTCCTACTTCCAAAGTATAGATAGACACTGTTCAAATGACTATTGTCCTGCACTGTATTCTGTGAAAACTTTGACCTCTCACCCCACACAAGGTCTGTGGCTAGAATGCTGCTTGGTAGAACTTAGGTTGAAAATTAAAAAAGCATATACAGCATGTCCTATTTTTAGAGTGGCACTTCTACTATAGAAATACCATGATAAACCATTCTCCTTTAGTTTATAGTGAAGATATTAAGAAGACTTTGAAGAGGAGAAATATGTTACAAAGCCTGTGACTAGTAAAGTAAAGAGGGTTCTTACCATCGCTGTAATTATCTGGCATGTTTCCGGAAAGGTAGTGAAATCAAGTTATAAATTGCAGGTAACACCCCCATGCCCCCTGGCCACCGCCCACCCCTAATTCCCAGATAAAGTCACAGACTGGCTTAGACAAAGCATGTTAGAGCCGACAGGTCCTCAGCGACCAGGTTCTATTATTACTCCTCCCCCTGCCTTTATATTACAGATCGAGAAATGAAGCCCAGATCGGAGACCTGATGTCTTGGCCAATGTCACAAAGCAAATGAAAGGACTATTCTTTTGGACTCCTACCTAGAACATTTCTCTAGACACAAAGATGCCTTCTTTCTGGGTTTCCATAGCAGACTTAGCTTCTACCTGGCGCCATTTATATCATTTACAGAAGCTTTCTAAATTCCCAGGTCGATCTTCTCTTTTTGCCAAACGCAGGCATGTATTACATAAGAATGTGACTGGCCACATCTCCAATCTCCCAGCAGGGAGCCGGGCACGTGCATTCTCACGAAGAAAGAACCCTTTTGAAGCTCTTGATGGGGAAGGGCGCTGGCAGGAGACCATACGCCATCTACCCCAAGGTGGGTGAGCACAGTCCTCTGCATTATTCTCTAGACATACTTTGTGATTAACTAAGAAAGCAAAGATAATCCATTCTTCAGTGAGGAATGGGCTGTGGCACAACCCACCACAAACCCAACATGTCATAAAAGCCTGCCTGGCACTGCTCCCCTGGCTTCTGGCCCCCATTCAACTGGAAGCTCCTGAAAGCAGGGGCTACATCCCATAGCCCTGGAACAGCGGGCCCTCAACTCACATTTGGAAGGAAGGAGGGAAAAAGCTTACTCCTACTTGGCGCACTGGGCACAGGTGTTACTGTGCACAGCCTGCCTCCACCCCTGCCCCTTCCCCCATAAACCGTGCTAAAGAAAAGCCAGCCAGCTCCAAGCCCTGATGGCAGCCCCAAGGCTTGGGGCTCCTGAAGGAGGAAGGTGGGTCAGGGCATCCCGCCTGGTGGCCCTTTTATCGGTCTAGTCCAGGTCCCTGGCAGCTGCAGCAGAAGGCGGCGGACACGCGGCTCGTCTGGATGACCTGCCAGCTTGCATCTGAGATTTCTCTTCCCTTTCCACCCCTGAAGTGAGAGGACAGCACTGCTTCCCTATGTCTACCTTCCTCAGCTAAAACCTTTTTCAGGAGTACTTTTTGTTTTGTTTGTTTGTTTGTTTTAAATATAAACTACTGACACCCTTGGGGAAGGGGCCATGGAAGGGAATGAGTACAGGCGAGAAGCCCTTCTGTCTTCCCCTTTCCCACTGAACCCTACAGAGGAAGACAGAAAAAGAGAAGGCGGTGGTGGGGTCTTTTGGCCAAGGAAGGGCTGACTGTTTCAGAAGCACGTGGGGAGGCAAAAGGCCTTGCGAGTGCCGCACAGGAGTGTAGCTCTGCCAGAGCGAGGGCATATCTCATCCCGCTGCTCATCTCATAGCTCGCTCGTCCTGAAGATGCACGCGGGGGTCCACGGGGCAGTGGGTAACAGGTAGGTTCTTACAAACATGAAAAGCGGGAATGATAATTGCAAAGTATAATCAAGAAATTTTAAATTGAGCCAACTCATTAGTGTGTTTGAAAGGTCTTTTTCTGTAGTTTTTTTTTTTACACATTCAAGTAAAAGAATCATGCTAACATTTTAAATAAAATTGCCAATTAAAAACGTTTGGGGCTCAACGATATTTGAATAAATAAGTGATTACTGAAAAATCAAACATCTGTGCAGAAAACAAGAATTAGGAAGAATTAATCAAATTAAACTTGCAATTTTAATGTTGTATTCATGGGGCTAAAAATGCAGACTCGAAATGCTCGAAGAAAACTTCCTTTTAAAGCTGGATGAAATTAACTATACAGAGTTCTCTCTTATTGACGAGTTCTCTTAAACTAAAAAACCCCTCCCATTCTAAAATATCATTCTTTTCAAAACCATAAAAAATAAATAATTTACAAGCATCTGGATGCTCGTTTCTGAGAAAGTGACTTAGTGAGATTTTGCTAATGTTCATTTTTCCAGATAAATTTTGTCAGCCGTTTAAAAAAACATGATTAGGAATTTTTAGTCTTATCAGATAATGCACAGCGAGGCAGCATGGTGGAGCTAGACGCTTACTGCACTGGGACAGGCGTTCTGAGCATCGTGCCTGGTGGGTCTGTGTGCCCTGTTGGCCTCTGTTTTCTCACTGGTAAAATAAGCAGGCAGGACTAAGCGCACGAGGAATTTCTTAGATTTTTCCTAACTATAAAATTATGTGATTTGATGTGAGAATAAATGACACATGATGTCGACACCTGAGAGCGGGAGTCAGCACACTTGGGCCCATCGGCCAAATGCAGCCAGTGGCCTGTTTTTTGCATGGCTCTCAAGCTGTGAATGGCTTATAACATTTTTAAAGTGTCATAAAAACAAAGAAACAAAATAAACAAACAAACAAACGAACGTACCAAATACAAAAACATGTATGTGACAGAGACCAAATGTGGCCCGCAAATCCTAAAATACTTACTATCTGGCCCTTTACAGGAAAAGTCTGGTGACCTCTCTGCCATAGACGATGGACATTAATGAGAAGTCCTTCCCCACGGAGGCAAAAAAGGTTCTAGCCAAGTGAAATACACTCAAGACGGCATCAGGAAAGCATGGAGAACGGAGGCATCGGCTGGAGGCAACTGACCAGTAACTGAAGCAGAGATCTGGCTTCCTAATGCCACACATGGGACTGGTGGGAGGTTCAGGCCAAAGCTGCTGCATAAAGGCACAACTCTAGGGCACACTAGTCTAATTACTATCATTGTGAATGGCACCCCTGCTCCCCCACCAAGGGCACCAGATTATACAACATGCACAGTTATATGCAGCATCCCTGGCTCAGGCCGCTCGTGAACCTCATACCTGTTACCATACAGTAACTTTGATATGGTTTTTATTATTCATACTATATGCAGCACCCCTGGCTCAGGCCGCTCGTGGTATTTTACAGTTGAACCTCATACCTGTTAACATACAGTAACTTTGATATGGTTTTTATTATTCATAACTTTGAAGAACTTACGTAAACGTGCCCCCATCAAGTTAATGTGACATTGTTCATCAGAGCTCCTGTACCTGCTTGGTGGCCCCAGGCGTCTGGTCACTCTGGCTCTGGCCTTGGCCCTGGCCACTGGAGCAGTAGTGGTCATCGGAGATGGTGATCTGTTCATTCTCCTCGGCTTCCAGCTGGCTCTGGTTGAAACGCAGGGAACCTTTTAGAATGTCTTTGATCTAATTTCAAAGAAGAGGAAAATAAATAAAAAAGATAAATGGGTTTGTTTTTCAAAGCTAGCTAAACCTCTAATATTTTTAAACTAGAATTGTCATTGACCATTTTTTATAGTATGGATATCAATAATATCACCGTCAGAAAGAACAGAAAAAAAAAAAATCCAACTCTATCAAAGCCACTGACTTATTAATGACCAAGGAAAATTTCAGTCTTATTGGCCAGGTTCTCGCAGGGTCAGACATGGGCGTCACGTCCTTGGCAGTTACTTTACAGCAGGAAGCAGCGTTTGCCTGCACACCCGGCCCTGTTGCACAGGCCTTGGCTACTGAGGAGCTCCACCCCAGTGGGGCTGTTAATCACGAAGGCACACGTTTGCCACCAGCACTGTTTTCATTGACATTTACTTTCCATGGAACCCTTTAAGGGGTGTGTAAATGTGGCCCTTGAGGGTCTGAGGCCTGCTGCATGGAGTGATTAGGCCTTGTGCCCCAAAGACATTTGTCTATTTATGAAAATGACTGAACAGGGCCCTGGGCCACACCACACCAGTTGTGAATGAGGAACAAACAGAATGGGTTTGGTAAGTGGAAGGAGCAGGGGTGGGAAACGAAAACCAGTTTGGGCCACAGGCTAGTCAGACATAATCGCCAGAAGGAGCAAGGGGCATGAGGAGCTGGAGGGGCCCTGTCTGGGAGGAAGCAAGGGGCTGGGGGACCCTGGCTCTACCATTGTACGCCATGCCCTGGGATGCCCTCCCCAACAGGCACTAACAGGGGGGCCTGTGAAACATAGAGTCAGATCGGTGGGCATACCTGTTTTAATCCTGCCAAGGAGACCAGAATTTGATCTTCTTTTTCCAAATTTTCTTGTAATATCACATCTTGAATATTTACTGAAAATATAAGAATGACATTTTATAACTCATGCTCTGAGTATAACTTATCTGCTGCCACACCATGACTTCAGACAAGCTTGGGAATTTTTCTGCCAAATCTCATGGCAACTATTCCCACCAAAGGTGCCCTGCCAGGCTGCAGAGGGGGCAGGTATTGGGAAGAGCAGAGGGGAGACGGAGCCTGGTAGGCACGGCCTTCCCGCCTACATCACATAAATGCATTCTTATAACAAAAGATGTGTCTTCACTTCCACAGACAGACCAGGCAACTCTGCTGACCTACACAGTGTGGTAAACAGCCAGCCTACAGCATTCAGTCAACTGGGAGGACACGTTTCAGCCTGGGCCACGGCCTTCCGCCTACATCACATAAATGCATTCTTATAACAAAAGATGTGTCTTCACTTCCACAGACAGACCAGGCAACTCTGCTGACCTACACAGTGTGGTAAACAGCCAGCCTACAGCATTCAGTCAACTGGGAGGACACGTTTCAGCCTGGGCTTCTTAAACTGCCTCACAGTTCAATGATGTTAGCTCACCTCTCTTTCTAAAGACCAGTTCCTCCCAGGTGACTGGAATTAATAAAGACACCATCTTTAAAGATTTAAACTGTAGAGCATGTTGTCAGTTCGACGCAACAATAAAAATAAAAGGACACTCATGGAACAACAGGTTACCATCAGACAGTGATGCCTATGGAGTCAGCATGATGTAACCCGGAAGCTATTCCTCTACGTCCTCCAGGAGGCTTAGCCTCCACCTGAGAAGACATTCGTCCAGACCTGATCTGAGGGATCTGCCCAGCCAGCTCTGACCACCAGGTTCGGCATCAAACCAAGTTGCCCACCAACAGGTTAAATATGCTGTGGTCCTCAGCTTTCCCCCGCCACCTGCCTGTGGGATGCTCACGGCCCTATTGGTGGCTGTGGCTTTACTGAGGCAGGGATTCTCAGGGGAGCCCAGGGGGCATGGAAACCCTCTCCCTTGGGGCTATGCAAGAGAATGTGTGTGTCGGGGGCAATTAAAACACACTTTAAAAAAGGTACGGGAATGTGCACCAATCTGAGAATCATTTCAGTAAGTAGGCTCACCCTCCTTTATCATCTGCTTTTTTTTTTTTGTGGCCTTAAAAAATACCCCGTTTAGAAGGTCTTACATGCCACATTCTTAGTCATTCACTCATGAAGTTGTCCCAGTCTCTACTAGCGCCTCCTCAGTTCCATGCCTGCCCCTAACAGCCACCAGAGCTATAATATCACTCCTTGCTTGCTCACGTCCCTCGGGTGGGAGAGGCAGAGCCAGCACACTGCTCTCTTGGCCTGGAGGCCCTGCCCCAAATCAGTGCAGACCGGCTCCTCCTCATTGTTCAAGTTTCTGCTCCAGCGTTGCCTCCTCGGAGCAGTCTTCCTGCCACTCACACTAAAGGAGCCCGAGTCACCCTCTAGTCTCTACCACATCATCTCTTTTACTACACTGATGATAAGCACTTGTCGCCATCTGACATTCTCATATGTATTTGCTGACTTATTTGTTTTCTATTTCCTTCAACAGGAATATAAGCTCCCGGCCTTTAGAATAATGGCTAGTACGTTTCAAGTATACAAGTATTTACTAAATAACTGAGCGAATGAACGAACATGGAAAGATACTCTTGCAATTTGCATTTCAAAACATTGTTATTCTAAATATTTCCGAAAAGCATTTCCAGTAAGGGACCAGGCAAAGACTGATACCATAAACACAGGTCCAGCTTGACAATTTATTAGAATCTTCAATAAGAATAAGTCTATATACCATGCTGATAAGTCCTCTTACATACTGCAACAGAAAAGCAGCAGTTTTTATTTATTCAGAAAACGTGACTGTAGTTTCTGACTAATAGAAAGGCCCGCTCCAAAACAAGAAAGCAAGATGAATGGGAATGAAATAACAGATATAATTAAGAGGGTGAATGTTTTTGGTTTCCTTAAAAGCCTGTAACAATTTGTTCTCTCTTAACAAAAAAACAACACAAAATCCACTCAACAAGACATTAACAACAACCAACTGCAGAAAATTAACAAGAAACAGTTCTGTAGGTCTTTTAGAGGATTGAAAAAGGTTACTTTTGTTTTTATGACTGCTATGGTTGCTAAGGCTGAGCTCTGAGGGCCTGGGGCAGGCAGTACGGTGCACAGTAGAGGGGTAGTTTGGTGGGGCCAGACCCTGAGAGGAAGCTCAGCAATGGATGTAGGAATATTTGGACTTCTGTAGGAAGCATTGGGCCCTTCCTGAGTCCAAGGAGGTAAAGGAGGGGAGGCCTTAGAGGCTACACCCGACAAATCGGGGGTGCGGGGGCTAGGAAAAGAGATCTGAAAGAAACCAAATGTGACGTCTCCTGCCTGCCCCTTTCATAGCCTGCTGTGGAACGTATCCTGAAGCAAGAGGGTTTGGCCAAACTGCCCAGCTCCTGCCCCCGATGTCATGATGGAGCTCAGGCATTTAGGGTCATAGACTACAGGCCAATACGGCAGACAGGGGCTCCAGTGGGGACAGAGGCCCAGAAATTTGTAGGATATTTGTTCAGATGAGATGGTTCACCTGTAAGAGACTGAGTTGCTTTTAATTGGCAAGTTTGAGCCTTGGACTGCTATTGGTGGGAACAAAACCTCAGAGCAGGATTTCTACACATCTGAGTTTTGTTATATAGATTTACTATCCCACTAGAGAAATACCAGAGTCTACCTGAGATCTTAGAAAATTGTACTGGTCATGCTGCCTGAAAATCCCATGAACCAGAAGCACTAGCCATCCTCTCTTGGATGCCTTTTTTTTGCTGCAAGCCTACCAAGAGAGGTGTGGTGATGCTTGCCGGAATAGGTTGAAAACAGGAGGGATGGTGACAGCAGAAGACATGAGCGTACTAGGAAAATGGAACACGGCCTGTCTTTTATTACAGGCCTAAGTGGGAATAATGTTTCACGTGCTAAAGACCACCTCTGCCCTGTGTTCTCTCTTGATAAAAGCATGAGCAGTCAACAAGCCTAGACCTTCACTACTGCCCTGTCACTTAGGTCTAAAGAGGTGGCGGAGCTGCCGGTGGGCTACCCCAACTCCACCCTCTACCCATTCCTCACCAACAGGAACTAACCTAAACGAGGTCAGTCAGAAATAGGAAGTCACTATATGCAAAACGGACCTTTCAGGAGCACTGGCACTAGCATCAAACAGCTTGAAGTTTGATGGTCTTGTGTGCTGTGATCTGTGTGTCGCTAAAACCATCAGTGAGATGGGGGTTATATCTCTCTCAGAGGATTGTTTTGGAGCCATTAGAAGAGATCATCAAAGTGGTCCACTTCTAGCATATTGCCTATTACTATTATTGCTTAGTATGTTTTCTTCCTCCTTCTCCAGTATCTTAAATACCCAGATAAGTGGATTTTACTTTCTGAGGTTCTCTCATGTATAATAGACATTTAGTTACCCTGATCTCTGACAATCTCATATAAGGGCTCTCCCAGACTCTAAAGAAATATGCAGGCTGTTATTACAAAATAGAGGGGTCACATGCATGCCCAGCATGGTAGTGGCTGAAGAGTTGGCCATTAGCAAGGAAGTGGGCAGACCTGTCGTTTGTCACTACTGACTCTGGCTGCGCCACTGGGACTTCTGTTCACAGAGTGTGAGCTATAGTTGTCCGGACCTGGGAAAAGGCAGATTTAGGGGAAGGCAGGTTTAGGAAACGATAGGCACCAAATTGATCCTTTAATTCATGGTGTGTGTCTCTGTGTGTCCCTGCAAATGCCATTCCCTCTTCTAGAAGGCCTGTCTATTCTCCTTACAATACCAGATCTTTCCTCGTCTTCAAAGTCCACCTTAAACTTGAATTCGAGCATCGGCTTCCCATTATCAATATTCCCTCTGAAATCATCTATTGTTGGACTCTCTCCACATCTACAGATGGACTCTAATCCTTTAGTACAAATACTAAAAGTTTCCTGAAACTGCACAGTTCTACATGGCAAACCCTGGTCCCAAGGTCTTTTGGTTCCAGATGTGGCACTCCGCTCACTATATCCCTATTACCTGTCCCTGCCAATGTTTCTGAGCTCACTGGTGCTCTGGGAGGACCATGGCTTGCTTCATGTGAAGCTATGTGTCACTTCCAATATTTCTGGTAAAGTATATTTTCTTTCGCTCTCTCCTCCTGCTTTGAAGTTTTACTCACCTCTTCCATACACATGGAGCTCAGTTTCAGATCACCACTCTTTCATTTTACCCTACCCTCAACTTACCTTTCCCAGAACCTATCTTTACATCAGAGAGCAGGTATTTAGTAAGTATAAGCTGAATGACCAATGTGAGCCTCTTCCAGAAGCATTAGGGCTCATTCTTATCACTCGAAAAACAGATGCAAGTATTTCTCAGATAAAGAATTGAAGGATACTAACATGATCAACCAGATCCTGAATTGAGAAATGAAAGGGGGTGGTGAAGGGAAATAACATTTGTTAACGGTCTATTAAGAGCCAAGTACTGAGTCAGGCATTTCATGCTCAGTATTTTCTTAAAAAGCAAAAGGCACATCACACAGAAAATATAATCAAGGGTTCTATTTTGCATCCAGCTGCCAGAATGGCTGAAAATCCTAAACTCAGCACTGGGAGAGAAGCATCACTTAGGAAAATCTAAGGGAGAGATTAGGCAAATGCGTGCATTACCCTTAAGAACAGTCCTCAGGCCAATAAACAGTGCTTAGCACAGACTTCCAAATCTTCACTGATCTCTACCATTTGGTGTATTATGCTCTTAGGGTTTACCCACCAGCCAGAGAGTGACAGAAAGTATGCCTCCTCACCGTAAAATCTATTATATTCATGACATAGCTGCCATCTTAGGGTCAACCTAAAAAAGAGACTTTACATATATTTTTAAACTTAAAAGATTCTAAGCACCAGTAATGGTTAGATGCCTTTGCCAGAATATGTAAAAATCAAAGCAGAAACAGAGTGAGG